AAGTTGTGGTTTGGAGGAATATATGGGGGAAATTATTTGGTTTATTATTATTGGTAAATATAATTAATTGATTTGTAAGAAATTGGATTGCATGGAAATAATCGGAATATTCATGTTCATATTGATTGATATACAAAAAAGATAGTTATATAACTAATTGATTTATACTAAAATGTTGAATTTGTATTAAACAACTGTAATATTACATAATTAACCAATGTGAGGATGGATATAAAAATAGATGACAATGGGAAGGGGTATAATATAGAATAGAAGGGAAAAATTGAATTTGATTAAGATTAGAGATGAGGATGAAGGGTAATATTGGTTTTTTAAAAAAATAGATGAGGAATAAATATGGCAAAAAGGAAATATAGAAATTGTAAATTTAATTGAAATGACTAAACACTGTTTAAATTTGTGAACCGGCCAAATACTCTGTTCAAAGAAAATACATTGTATGTTTGTACGTGTGTTTCTAATTATTGCTATTTATTCATATTTGTTCTCTTTTATTTTTTAAAGTTTAACAATTCATTCTTTATCTTAATATCTTTATATTTGTTTGGGGTTGGGTTTCTTCCTTTTCATCTTTTTTATTGTACAGCAATCTTTCTCCTCAAACCTACCATCTCTCTCTTTTCTTTCCTTCTTACTTTCTCTTCCCCCACTCTTCTTCTCCTCCCTACTTCCTCTTCCTTTCTCCTTCTCCTCCTCTCTTCCTCCCTCTCTTACCCTCACTCCTACTCTAATTTCCCTTCCCTTCCTTCATCCCTCTCTATTGCTGTATCCTTTTGTGCATATGCACTGCTCAGAGGGCCGAAAAAGTTATTTTGACTGGTCCTCGCACTTTTGACCAGTCCTCGAACTTATGACTGTCCTCACATTTTACGTTTTTGCCCTATCCTGTCACCATGGTGAAGAGAAGCAGTTGTGAAATAAGTGACACGGTTGTTAAGAATGCTACAATGGGCATAAATAATGACCAGTCATAAGTGCGAAGACTGGTCAAAAGTGCAAGGATCTGTCAGAAATCACTTTTTTCAGCCCTCTGGGTAGTCCTTTTGTGCATATGCACTACTCAGAGGGCTGAAAAGTTATTTTTGACTGGTCCTCGCACTTTTGACCAGTCCTTGAACTTACGACTGTCCTCACATTTTATGTTTTTTGCCCTATCTTATCACCATGGTGAAGAGAAGCAGTTGTGAAATGAGTGACATGATTGTTAAGAATGCTGCATGGGCATAAATGTGAGGATGGTCATAAGTGTGAGGACCAGTCAAAAGTGCGAGGACCTGTCAGAAATTATTTTTTTCAGCCCTCTGAGTAGTCCCTATACACGTAGCCATGGCCACCCGGTCACATGACCAGCTAGCCATGCCCACTCAAGTCACATGACCTCCAAGCCACGCCCACAAAATAAGCCATGCCCACAGAACCGGTAGTAAAAAATTTTAGAACCCACCCCTGGTTCAAATGAGTATAAGTTTATTCCATGCTATACCAGTCTACAAGAATCTGAACTACAAATAGTCAAAGCAAATTGAGGGTAGATAAAAATCAACGGAATTCAAGGATGGCTGGACGTAGATCTCTTGTGGGCATGAAAGGACTCCAAATTGATGATGCACTTGAGCCCACTCTCAGACTCAGGCTGGTCATCTCCTACAGTTTGCAAAATAGTAAGCATCTTTATAATAATGCGGTGTCATAGAATCACAGGGCTGGAAGAAACCTTGTAGGTCTTTTAGTCCAACCCACTGACAAAGGCAGAACTCTTTATACCATTCTGGATCTCTTCTTGAAAACCTCCAGTGATGGAGCACAGTTCCAGGAGGCAAGCTTTTCCATTAATTAATTGTTCTCAGTCAGGAAATTCTTCCTTATTTCCAGGTTGGATCTCCCTTTGACAAGCTTCCACCCATTGCTGCTTGTCCTTTCCTCAGGTGCTTTGGAGAACAAATTGACTTCCTCTCTCCTTCAAGTATTGAAAAAGAGCTGTCATGTCATCCCAAGCCTTGCCTTCATTAGGCTAAACAAATCTAGTTCTCTTAGCTGTTTATTGTAGGGTTTAGACTCCAGACCCCTTATAATTTTAGTTGATCTCCTCTGTACTCTTTCTGGGGCCTCAGCATCTTTTTTTTGTATCATAGTGACCAGAACTGGATGCAGAATTCCAAGTGTGGCCTCACCAGTGCAGTATAAAGCAGTACTATCACTTCTCATGATCTTGATGCTATCCCTCTGTTGATTTTTTGGCAGCTACTACACACTGCTGGCTCATGCTTAAAGCTGTATTAAGCATGGACACTTAGATCCCTTGCAGAGTTGCTACTGATGGCCAAGTACTGCCTATTCTATACCTATGCATTTGGTTTTTCATGCCTAAGTGCAGGACCTTACTTTTCTAACCACTTTCATCTTGGGCCCAATGCTCAAGTCTATCAAGATCCTTCTGAATCTTGAGTCTATCTTCCAAAGTGTTAGCAATTCCCCCCAGCTTGGTGTCATCTGCAAATTTGATGAATACCCTTCTATCCCCATATCCAGGTCATTTATGTCAGTAGAATCTAACCTGGAGGTATTACGTATATTGTAGTTTTTACCCAGATTAACCTTGATTCTGCTTTTGAACTGGATATTGGACATTCGAATGAGAGTGAAATACTTTGACAATAACAAAGTTCTTGATTATATTCCATGTGATATTTTGAACTGTATTCTCATTAAATGTGGAACAGATGATAATACACAGCTTCATTATTGTCAGATTCTGAGAATGTTCAGTTGGGGTTCCTTGTCAAAGCAGAGGGAGATTTCAAATAGGATTTTCTCCTGAGCCTTGCAGTTTTCTGCATTTTCACAAACAATGTTAATTAAGATGTAGAAGGATTTTTTACAGATTTACAGATGACATTAAACTTATAAAAAACATGGCTCCTGATAACTTCATGTAATCTGCTTGGCAATAGGACAGAAAGATGTATTTTGCCTTTGGTTCCTTTCAATATTTTTTAGGGATATGGGGTCTGGCTTCCCCCTTTTTATACATCTGCTAATTTACAATAGTTCTTTTTATTTCATTTCCTTTTCTAATATAATAATTTTAGGGTGCCACAAAAATGTTTTAATGAAGTGTTCATTATTCTCAGTTGCACTTCTATCAGCACAAGTATTTAGTCATTCCTTTGGTATACAATTGCAATGGGATCCAATGCATCCAAAATCTTGTTTTTTGTTGAAAAAGCTGAAATCTAAAAATGGAACTTTTGATTAAGACATTCAGACAGGTTTTCATTATTTAGAAAAAATAAAACCTCTGATTCTTTGTTCTGTCTTTAAATTTTGCATACAAATTGACATATTGATAACAAGTATTAATTGTGACTAATTAATGTACTTTTTTCTCAAGATTTAATGGCCATATCTAATACTGTACAGTAGGTGTTTGTGATGCTGAAAATGCTGTTAGTCCAAATCAAGATGTTAGTAAAAATTAGCATTATAAATATTGTCAGTGGGTGGACAATAAACACATATCCCATAGAAAACTACAGAAGAGTCTAATGAATGTTTGAATATGTTTACTATTTTTTTTAATAAGAATTGACACAAAATATTAAGTATTTTGGGATTTATATTCATTTTGAATATTTTATGCTAACCCAAATGATAAAGCTCACCTATCAATATATCCAAAAAACATATATGTATAATGCATTCATATTTAACATTTCCAAGTAATTGGAAGTAATAATGAAGTGGTTTTCCCTCAGAGAGACCTGAAATTCTGTATACAATTTGGATACCACAATTTAAGGAGGTAGGCAAACATTTTAGAGGTGGGTATTTGAAAACAAGTTGTATGAATGAAAGAGAGTGAAAGAGCTGTATATGCTTAGCCTAGAAACCTCATGAACATAAAAATGAGTTCATAGTGTTTCATGGTATTGTGCAAAGAGCTGCAATTTAGCATAAGTTCATTACAATAATTTATGAGGTGCATAAGTCATGTCGTTGTATGTTATTATTTCCTTCTTTCAGGCACCCATGATTCTGACTGAGACATGACAATACTGTTGTAATACCTGAGAGCTATCAAGTAGAATAAGGCAATCCTAGATCTAATGTATGTAGTATGTCGCAAAAAAGAGCAGAAACTGCTTGATGATAAGATCATTTCCATGCCTGGTGGAGTTTTTTAAGAGTTAGAAGATTCTGTAGTTCTGAATTTGTTGGAACTAGTTAGCGACATTACCACTTTTGGATCCTGAAGAATCTATGAATTTAAATCACAGCTCTGCTGGAATCTTTTATGATATCCTACAGTGTGAAGTGGTGGGGATTATAGCTGAAACCAAGACTGCTAGCTCTTATCTTACCTTAATTTTATATTAATCATAAGAAAGGATATTCTGGTGATTTTTTTTTTACAAAAGAACAAAATACTTCAGTAACTGTGATCCAGAGTTATATAAACTGTGAATTAAGCAGCTGTGGTGAAAATAACATTAATGCAATGACTGTGTAAGTTGTGTAAGTTTTATAATGATAAAACTTGTGTAAGAAACTTGTGTAAGTTTCATTATAACCCCATAATAGTGATTCTAATGTGCTTCAGTCTGTCATTTGTAATCTGTACTGCACACCTCTGCTGCTTTATGTATAAATAAGAGTGACTGAGAGTCATAGTTTCTTAATGTCTTATATTGCTTGCTAATTCCATGTCTGATACATGAAAGAACAGCCTATAATACGGTACCAAAGGCTGATGCTGTGATAACAATAGGCAGACACCTTTTAGATTTCTGTCACCCAAAAATGAATGTGGCAGACCCGCATTGACCTGGTGGTCCTGAGCAGCAGCCCCAAATAAGGGAGTAGAAGTAGAGGTCCTCCCTGCTGCTGCTGCTGCTGCTGCTGCTGCTGCTGCTATGAAACCTTGTAGTGAGAAACACATCATTGTGATGGCCACTGATGGATTTCTTTCTCTCTCTTAGGCTAATGGAGGTTGGCAAGATGCTACGACTCCTTCGTCGGTGACTTCCCCCACAGAAGGCCCTGGCAGCGTTCACTCTGATACCTCCAACTGATCTCCCAGCAATCCAGTATCCCCGGCTGCTCCCACCCTGTACCAGGCAGAGGTGGGGGCAGAGAGGGGAGAGTTTTTTTCTCCTGTTGATGCCATCAGGCTGGATTCAGAGCTGACTGGCCCACCCAACAGGAGTCTCCTTCTCTTCTCTCTTTGGGGATGCTTTTTCAGCCAGTCTGGACACTTCTTTATACTCTCTTCCCTTTCTTTTCTGGGTAGAAGCCACCTTTCCTTTCACCATCACCATTGCCTGTCCTCTCACAGCAAAATAATCAGAAGAAAAAAAAATCTGAAAGCATTTGTACTTATTATGTTGTTGCTGTTGTTGTTGTTGTTGTTGTTATTTTTATCCCAGTGTCAATCCCTCCAGTCTACCAGATATCTGATCGCCTTCTCCCATTTCTCTGGTGTTCTCACTACCTCTTTTTAGGAGCATCTAAGCTCTTCCCTTGGCTTTTGGGCACCATACCTCCTTCATATGAGACAATGATCTGTTCCTTTAAGATCCTGAATCTTTGGTGAGTTGCCTTCCAGGACAATCCCTGTTACAGGTTGGATAAATGCAATCCGGGTGCTGCAAGATATGGCCATAACATGTCACATGGTTACAAGATAGGAAACTGTTAGCAAAGCTACTCTTTACCATCCCTTCATGTCTCTTATCCACCATAGACATGAACCTTGCCACTTCTCAGTTTGGTTATTCCACACTTTCAGTGGAACTGTAATTAGGGCTGTGTGCATCGTTCTTCATGAAGAAAATGCATAGTTGCTTAGTATAACATGACGCAAGTACAGTAAATCTGGGAAGTAAATTATCTTTTCCTAATTTGGGTTCTACAAATCACATTTTATTGATGCAGAAAAGACTTTCACATTTTCATTTGAAATGAAAACTATGTAAGAACAGAGCAATAAAGACCTGTGCATGGCACTGTGGTCTTCATTCTTACATCCTCTGATTTCTCAGCTTTATCCAAGCATTATGTGCCTGAATGCATCATAAACCTTAGGTATTCAGAAAAGGAGGGGGTTATGTTCACAATAAAGCTGCAGAAATTGCAAAATACCCACAGCTTTCATTACACTCCTAATTTACCAATATCTGTTACACAGAGAAAGAAATCACTGGGAAATTACTTCCAAGCTGCTAGAATATATAACTTGCACTAGTAAACATTTGGACCTTTATGGCTTTACATATTATAATTTGATTATACAGCCTTGCTAAAATTGTGGTGCTGCCCTAATTGTGAAAAACAATAGATTGACACTTCACTTCTAAACAAAACTCTTCCTGCTAGAAAAAACAGTAAAATTGATGGGTGGGATAAAATGGGAAGAAGATAAATAAACGACTATTGGAAATGAATATTGGAAAATACATATTTGCATGGTGACCTTAAACAATTGCCTGTGCTCCAACATATTTCTCCAGAATAAGATGAATTGGGTTGCCTCCTAGTCTTGAACCTGAGGACTGATCTCCTTTCAGCAAAGCATGTTCAGGGGAACATCCCAGTCAATTGACTGTGTCCTTCGTGAGGGGTCTGGATAGAAAGGCATTAAATAACCTAAGCTGATCTGGGCTTAGTGATAACATGTAAAAGTATCAGGCACCCATGATTAAGAATAGTGGCCACTGGTACATTCTCTGTCCAGGGCGATGCTGATATTTCAATGTATTTATATCACACTATAAGCTTTCTTGCTTCCAATTGTTACTATTCCATCCTGTCAATAGAAAAAGGCTTTTCTATTTAGGGTCATTGTGAATTCAAACTGATAAATAATCCAGATTAATTAACATAGATTACAAATAATTCTGTGAGCAACATTAGCAATTTTGTCTGGAGGGGATGTCGAGACCCTGATGCTTCTTATTAGAAATCCATAGCTCTCTTGGTCCATCTGCTCTTGATAACCTGCATATACCCAGAATTAAATCCAAGTAAATTGGAGGCACTGTAGAAAAGCACTAGATTTAGTGGAGAAGCAAACATTTCATAATTTTATTGTGATGGTTGATTTGAGCAAAGGACTCACTTTTCAAAGCACTTTCCACCCTCCAAATGAACCTGCCAGAATGATTTCATCTGGGTTTTGGGATTTCCTTAGCAAATGCAATAGCCATAAGGAGCTCTTCCAGTTACTAAGCACATTAGAAAGAGTCCCAGAAGGGACATGAAGCAACTCAAGGCAAAATGCAGCCACCTCCCACATGCCTAGCATGGCTTTTAAATTAGGATGAATTTAAAGAAAAAGGCAAAAACAAAAAGCAAATACTAGCTAAGAGGTTAAAGGCATAGCATCTACACAGTCTTTGTAATGAGATGGAAATGAGGAAGGAGATTGCAGAAATAAGTAGAGATGGCTTTTGGTGGGTGATGTTTTATGGACAAAGAAATACATGCAAAATACAGTTGACCACATCAAAGGTGATACTTAACTTTAGTACATGAGGGAAAAATAATAGATAGCATTGCCTAGTGTTTGGATGAAATATACTTTTGCCAAATGTTAGATGCACCAGATCTTGGCCACACAAATCCAGACCATAACAAAGAATTGACATTTTTTGGTATCTCTGCTGCCATCTAGTGATCATGTGGATTCATGCAGCCAAGATGAGTTGTCCTTGATGAAGACCAGTGTGCATGGACTTGAATATTTGTTTAATGTAATTAAGTGTAATTAGGTTAGTTGCAATTAATTACATTAATTGTGTGATTTTTATCTAAAGTATCTATCGGCAACTTTCATAGAGACCATTATATTGCTGTGATAAATGAAAATATGACATAGTCTCCTGGAAAACAGATTTTATTCAATTTCCATTTATAGATAGACAGTGTTGTGCAGTGTTATTTATTAGCTTCATTTCAAACTATTACCTGGACTGTGCAATTTGCATGGCAGACTACAATTGTCTGGGAAGGAAAAAAGAGATGGAACTGCATTTATCTGCCTGTAACAATATATCTTTCTATTATGGTCTGTCATGGTATGGTACTGAACTTCTTAATGGTACATACACTGGTAGTAATTCTTTGCATATCCAGATTTACTATTTTTATTATAATTATGTAATACTGATATTTTTGCTTAAATGTGACCTACCTTCTCATAGATTTGGTTCTTTATTTTCTGCCCAGAAAAACCCAACTTCGATACCAAAAACAAAAAAAATAAAAAAGTGCAGAAACTTTAAAAAAAAAAAGAATCCTAAAAAAGTTTTTAAAAAATTAAAATGTTCAGTTCTTTCAGCTTTATTAACATTTTCCAATGTTTCTTGCGATTTGTGTCTCGTTCTTTGTAGTAATTGATGATAATGAACATTTGATAATGAATGTTCTTGTATATTCAGATAAAGGAAAAACAAACCAAAAAAGCAGTCTGAATTTAATAATGTTTATAAAAATAAAAAGTTACCCTCATAGCACGCATCGAAGGACAGGCAGTCCCCATCCTGTCCTGTGGCAAAAAGAGCTTCATACCTGTATAGTTTTTAACACCAAGTTACCTACATTTGCTCTTCTTTGGTTTCCATTTTAATGCATTTGTGAATTAGTTCAAGAATGGTAGACAAGTGTAGAGTTGTGCACATTCATTTCCTGTTACACAATGTTTTAAAAGAAGTGACAGTAATTCATTTTGTAAAACTTTTAACAATGGTTGGAATAGTGAGCATAATAGGTACACTTAATACTTTGTTTACTAACTTTGAATGCCAGAAGTGACATTTTCATTATCTTCTGCATAAATTTTAAAAGGGGCTTTTATTTTAGGCCCAATCCACTGGTAGGTTCTCCAGCATAAGCCTCCCCTGAAACAAATGGAAGCTATGCAAGGGCTTTTGCTGTGCAGCTTCAGTTTTTTTCAACAAGACTTATGCAGGATACTAGATTCATCTCTTTTATTTTGATCTATCTCTCTATCTCTCTCTTTTTGTCAAACTATGGCCTTGAAAACATATTTTCCAATTCCATTCTTAAAATTTTTATTGCCTTTAAAGTGATGTGAAAAGCTTCTTTAGCAAACAGAAAAAAGATAAATTATTTTCCCTTAAATGTGCTTAGTTTATATAAAATCAACACTCTTGTTTATTGGTTTGATGCCAATAAGATGTGTTGGGATTAGAGATCCTAGAATTTGCAACCAGAATAACCAACATCTCATGTAGCATACTTGGTAGGTGGAAAATTGCTTCTGGCTGAAGGCTGAAAATAAGACCTCGAGCGATGAGCAAGGTACTTGAAATACTCAACTTCCTGAAATTTATTTAACTTCCATTCTCACCTGGCTTGCTTGACAGTAGTGGTGAACTAAACTTTCTGAGAACTCCCACCTGGGGCTGTCTGGCTGCTTGGTTTTCCTGAATAGTTTTGAGAAGGCTAGAGAAGGTCCACATCAACTTTCTCTGTGGAATATGAGGACGTAGAGCATTGCTTCTACTGCCCATCAGGTTGCCATCAAGTGATGAGCAATGCATGCCAAGATGCAATATTTGTGCCCTTTTAAGCAAAGATTGTTTGACCTACTGTGGTAGCACAGTAGAATACAGTATTGCAGGCTAATTCTGCCCACTTCCAGGAGTTCAATTCAGACCGGCTCAAGGTTGACTTAGCCTACCATCCTTCTGAGATTGGTAAAATGAGGACCCAGATTGTTGGAGGCAATATGTTGACTTTGTAAACTTTGTCCAGAGAGTGCTGTAAAATGCTATGGGCAGTAGATAAGTCTAAGTGCTATTGCTATTGCTACACAGGAAATTATAAGTAGTAGGGTGTGTAGGGTTACTGTTGCCAGAAGGGTGTAGGGTTATTGCTTGCTACTTGCCAAGATGGCAGATGAGGGGAGAGGTACTCATCAACAGTTGCCTGGTCAGTGCAACAATTATGTTATTTATGAAGTGAAAGTGCTAATTCTTTTTGCCACAGCCGATCTTCCTTGCCACCACCAGATAATGTGAACCAGCATTCTGCTCTATTGCTTGTAATTTCCCTCCCTTCCCCATGTCCTGGTTTTCTGTGCAAAAGTAAGTTCCAGGACTCACTTGGGGTATTAACCAAAGCTGCTGATCTGCCAGCTCCTCCCCAGTCATGCCTGTATTTAGAAAGGAGAACCAAAAGTGGTGGGCAAGCATATTGGAAATCACTAGGCAAAGGGTGTCCCCTTGTGCCATAAATCATCACTTACAGGCTGTACCACCTGCCAACCGAGGGAATGGTCATAAATGCAGTCATATGTTTAAAATACTATCTAGTCAGATCTCTTTATTGGTACTATATTTTTAAGATTAAACAGTAGATGAAATGTACTATTTCATCCTGTCTTCTTAAATACTTATCTAAATGACTTTCTGGGAGATGCTCGTCAATCTTAATTCAAGGACAACCTTGGTCCACAATTGAGCCTGGTTTGCTAGTACAACTCTTGCTATTTTCTCTCATTTCTCTCAATTATCAGTACCTTTGTTAAAGAATCATTAATGAAGAAATTATAGTGGGGAACAAAGCAATAACTTAAATCAATTATGAAAGTAAATATGAAATTTCAATGCCCTTGCTGTTCAAAAAGCACTTTGCCATCACAACTCCAGTTTGGTGGATTTTGGAACGCTAAGACAATTGTGTAAATATTACTAAAGAGTGCCCCATAATCAGGGCCAAGGGCTAGGATAACTAATTGCATCATAAGCATCAAGGATATGCTCCCTTATCTCTCAGTTCAGAATGAGAGCAAAATAATTAGCATTATTTGTCCTCAATGCCATAATGGGTTAAATCTGATTAGCTACCTCGTGATATGACATCATCACATGTAATGTGATTCCTGATTTGCTGAGCCAAAGATGCATTCTTCTATAGCCTCATTTTTCAGACTATGAAAGTAGAAGAGGAAGATTCCTGGAAAGTTTCAGAGTTCAGAGGTTTTGCTGGGGAAAATGCATGTCACTTTTTCAAACCAACAAAAACTGTTCTGTCTCTAATTCTTCATTCAACAATGTTACAACATGTACTTACTTCCAATGAGACATTGTAGGGCAAAATTACATTCTGTATACAATGTTGAAAACAATATTTGTATTGGTTTTGATGGTTTGTTTTGGATTTTAGGATATTTTTTTCATCTAAAAACAGTTTCTAACTGCCCCCGTTTTGCTGAAGTTTTGGAGACTTTCTTCCCATTTTTTTATTTTCAAAGAAAAGGGGAGGATAGATAAATTGCATCTGTAGTGCATCCAGTGGAGTTGGAGTTTAATTGGCATTGGGGGGTTTCTGGAATGCTGACATCCAGTTCTTTCCTAGTAAGGCTTTTAAGGTTGACTCAGCCTTCCATCCTTTCTAAGGTAGGTAAATTGAGGACCCAGTTTGTGGGGGCAATAAGCTGACTTTGTATAAATATACAAAAGTATGAAGGCTATTGCTTAACGCATTGTAAGCCGCCCTGAATCTCCGGAGAAGGGCGGCATATAAATCATTTTTTTAAAAAAAATAATAGCCTTGATATTATTTAATCCTGAAAAAGTATCCTTTCTAATTTCAGATTTAGGGTCACACAGCAAAGGAGTAGCAAACCCAACCCACAACACCTCCTCACCCAAACTACCAATAAATATGGGAACTGTATTTTTAAAAATGGAAAATACAAAGTTAAAGGGATCTCTTTGCTCCCTTCCAAAAGTTATAGGCAAACTCAAAAAAAAAAAATCTGATTTGAGTTGGACATACCTGCACTCTGTTGTTTAGACAGACACTAACAAACATCTTCTAACTGCAAGGGGGGAAAAAAATCTTTGATTATGCTGAGTCAGCAGATTTACAGATCTGGGCTCATGTCTAAAAGACAAATTGTATGCTCTTTGGAGCTATAGTACCCTGAATCCAATTATTTGTAGATTTAAGATAATCCCAGTCCACCTTAGTGCTTTCTGTTTTTACTATACCTTACCAGAGAGAAATCTCAAACTGGTAAAAGTATATTGCTGTGCAATTCACACTGCATGGAGAAAGCAGTGTCTAATCCAAATTCTCATTTCTTCAAAATGTTATCTTTTTGACTGATAGCTATTGCTTCTCAGAAAGAATCAGGGAGTCAAAGTGATAGTGCTTTCAAAAGTGATATAACAGGAATCAGTCAAAAACCTATCCCTGCAGCAAGGAAGAATCCAAGGCTCAGTCTGGTAGGAGGGATTTATAGGACTGGACTCGTTTGGGAAACAAAATTTGATATATGATTCAATATTTCAAAAACTGAATCTGTAAAACAATGGATGGCAACACTGTTCTTTCTTTATTTGCAAGGTATGATGAGGTTTTCACATCACTCTTTGCATTGGCCCCTTATTTTTCCCATGCAACCTTGTTTGCATAAAGCTTTTAACATATAATCACCATTGTTATTATCAAAATGTATCACAAAATGCATTGTTTGTTCTTAATCAGGATGCTTTTTGTTTCTTGCAAAGATACCCTGCTGTATTTTCAATTGCTTTGTCTTTTCTTATGTTTCCAATAATTTCTCAATATTAAGAAATATTCTCTTTGCTTTGATTTACATCAAGTTTTCTGCTCCCTTAAAAATAAGGCCTGTGTCTTTTGGATCTCCATTGAAACTTTTCTGTTCTATAATAATACTAACAAGATGTAGGTTTTACAGTCTCCTGATTTGTATTGCTACTGCATATTCCAAATAAATTGTTTCTTTTGTTGCAAAAACTGGTGTACGTCTTGTACAGAAAAAACTTGTCTTCATCCTAAATTCTTTCTTTAATATATATTTATTTTGTTTTATCAACAAGAGTAAAATACAAAACAGAAAACAGAAAAACATACATCCAACACTAACAACAAAAAAAAATGTGTATAAAAAAGGGGAAAAATGACCCAAATGTCAAATAAATCTAACATTAAATATAAAGAATCCACTATGGCTAGATGCTGAAAAGAATATGATTTTTTAAAAAAACTTCTGATGGATTCTCCTCCCCTTACATAATGGGTCTATAAATAATTATAAGCTTTTCCATCATTATTTAATAAAAATTACTGTATTAAATAAACAAATATGGAGGATATTTTTCTCTCTATTTTCTATCCATCATCTCTTGTCTGCATCAGTACTTTACGTCTAACTTTTTTGACTTGCCTCCCATATTCTTCTCTTAGGTTTTTTACTCCATCTACTTCTAGATCTGCATTCTGACTATACAATCTGACTTTTTCTCCCCTCTCTACCCTTTCCCACTGACTAGTTTTAAAGCTATTTGTTCTAACCCCTATATCCTTTCCCCAAATATCTTCCTGTTTCTCCCATTCCCTTTTTAAATATTTTAAAATATTTTCCTCCTGTTTAAATTCTTTAGTCATTATTAATTTTGATGATATCTCCTCCTTGTTGTCTTCTTTTCACTGGTTTCTTGGTTCTGCTTTCCCCTCCATTCCTTCTGGTGGCTCCTTTCTTTCCTGATTGCCCTAGTCTTTGCTCATTTTCCAGTTTTTGGTCTATGCCATCAGATAATTTCACCATTGCCTTATGTTGTTCCTGTATAAAGTCCTTAGTGCTTTGAAACATCAGCTCCATTTCTTTTAAAATTCCAGTCACTTCCACCTTGCATTACGTCTTATTTTGTTTAATAGGTCCCACTTTTAGCCAGTAGTCCAGAAATCATTGATTCAAAACTGAGCTTACACAAATCACAATTTTTAATATTTCAGGGAAATAAGGGAAAAAAGCCCCAGGGCTCAGCCAGGAGAGTTGCGATCTCTCCTGCAACCTCTCAGGGCATCCCTCCTTAGCTTTGCCGTCCCTTCAAGGTGGCTTTGGCTCCTTTTGGAGCCCACAAAATAAGTCCAGTCTATTGTCTCTAATCAAGGCAATTAATTTCACCATCTATGCTACAGTAATTCAGTTTTAAAATCCACTCTTCAACAGTCAGCATCTCTTTTTCTTTCCAATGCTTAGCAAATACAATTCTCACAGCTGTCATCATGTGAAGAAATAGCACCCCAAACTGCTTTTCAACTGGTCCTATTTATAATATCTAAAAGAACAGCTTCGGGTTTTATTAATATTTGTGTCTTAAATATTTTCTGCATTATCATTATTATGTTTATCTAACATGATTTAACATGTTTACAAGACCATCACATAAAATATGCCTGGACTTTGGATACATTTCCAATAATTGTTGAAATCCCTCTATACATTTTTGCTAATCTGTCTGGGGACAAATACCAATGATACACCATTTTGTAAATAAAAATAAAAATCAAACTGTAATTCAATGTGTAGCCCTCAATGGAACTACATATACATAGAGAGAAACATGCAGTGGGATACCTCAAGGTTCTGTTTTGGGGCCAGCTTTTCAATATCTTCATAAATGATCTAAATGAGGGGACAGAAGGAAAGCTCATCAAATTTGCAGATGTCACCAAGCTGGAATTGGTAATACTTTGGAGGATAGATTAAAGATTCAGAAGGAACTTGACAAATTTGAGCATTGGGCCCTAGCTGACAAGATGCAGTTCAGTGGTGAGAAATGTAAGATCCTGCACTTAGGCAGAAAAACCAAAAGCACAGATATAAAATAGGTGGTACCTGGTCAACAGTAGTAGCTGGGATCTAAGTATCCTAGCAGACACTTAAGTATCATTTAAGTATGAGCTACAAATGTGCTGCAAATGCCAAAAAAGCCAAAGCAGTCCTAGGATCATCAAGAGAGGAATAGCATCAAGATAATGAGAAGTGAACGCTTCTTACTGCACTAATGAGGCCCCACTTTGAATACTGTGTCCAATTCTGATCTCCATGATACAAAAAAGATGCTGAGACCCTAGAAAGAATGCAGAGAAGAGCAACTGAGATGATAAGGAATCTGTGGAATAAATCATATGAGTAATAGTTGTTGTTGTTGTTGTTGTTGTTGTTGTTGTTATTATTATTATTATTATTATTATTATTATTGTTATTATTGTTATTATTGTTATTATTATTATTATTATTTATTGAATTTCTATACCGCCCTTCTCCCGAAGGACTCAGGGCGGTGAACAGAATAAGATTTCATATACATATAATAATAATTATTTTTTTATAAACAGTAAATTGAGTCAACTTAGTGTATCTGCTAAGATCTTGGCATAGAATTTAGATGTTTATGCTAGCCCTGCTTGTTGAAACAGAAAGATCTTCAGGGCACGTCGGAAAGTGCGAAGATCTGGGATTATTCGTATTCCAGGGGGTATTTTGTTCCAAAGAGTAGGTGCCCCCACAGAGAAGGCTCTCTCCGTTGGAACTACTAGACAACATTGTTTTAATGATGGTACTATGAGTAGGCCTACTCTGTGAGAGCGTATTGGTTGGTGGGAGGTTATCGGTTGCAGCAGGTGGTCTCGTAAGTACTCAGGTCCTAAGCCATGGAGAACTTTAAAGGTAAGAACCAACACCTTGAAGCCAGGGCCGGATTTAGATGAAAAGAGGCCCTAGGCTATTCCACTTATGAGGCCCTTTGGCCCACAGGTTCTGTGGGCGTGGCTTAGTTGGGGGTGTGGCTTGGCAATCATGTGACCGGGTGGGCGTGGCTATGTGCATAGGGACTACTCAGAGGGCTGAAAAAAGTCATTTCTGACTGGGCCTCGCACTTTTGACCGGTCCTCACACTTATGACCATCCTCACATTTATGCCCGTGCAGCTTTCTTAACAACCATGTCACTCATTTCACAACTGCTTCTCTTCACCATGGTGACAAGATAGGGCAAAAACGTAAAATGTGAGGACAGTCGTAAGTTCGAGGACTGGTCAAAAGTGCGAGGACCAGTCAAAAATAACTTTTTTAGCCCTCTGAGTAGTCCATATGCACAAAAGGACTACCCAGAGGGCTGAAAAATGTGATTTATGACAGGTCCTCGCACTTTTGACTGGTCTTCGCACTTATGACTGGTCATCATTTATGCCCATTGTAGCATTCTTAACAACCATGTCACTCATTTCACAACTGCTTCTCTTCACCATGGTGACAAGATAGGGCAAAAACGTAAAATGTGAGGACAGTCGTAAGTTCAAGGACTGGTCAAAAGTGCGAGGACCAGTCAGAAATAACTTTTTCAGCCCTCTGAGTAGTCCATATGCATAAAAGGATACAGCAATAGAGAGGGATGAAGGAAGGGAAGGGAAATTAGAGTAGGAGTGAGGGTAAGAGAGGGAGGAAGAGAGGAGGAGAAGGAGAAAGGAAGAGGAAGTAGGGAGGAGAAGAAGAGGGGGAGGAAGAGAAAGTAAGAAGGAAAGAAAAGAGAGAGGTGGTAGGTTTGAGGAGAAAGATTGCTATACAATAAAAAAGATGAAAGGGAAGAAACCCAACCCCAAACAAATATAAAGATATTAAGATAAAGAATGAATTGTTAAACTTTAAAGAATAAAAGAGAACAAATATGAATAAATAACAATAATTAGAAACACACATACAAACATACAATGTATTTTCTTTGAACAGAGTATTTGGCCGGTTCACAAATTTAAACAGTGTTTAGTCATTTCAATTAAATTTACAATTTCTATATTTCCTTTTTGCCATATTTATTCCTCATCTATTTTTGTAAAAAATCAATATTACCCTTCATCCTCATCTCTAATCTTAATCAAATTCAATTTTTCCCTTCTATTCTATATTATACCCCTTCCCATTGTCATCTATTTTTATATCCATCCTCACATTGGTTAATTATGTAATATTAGTTGTTTAATATAAATTCAACATTTTAATATAAATCAATTAGTTATATAACTACCTTTTTTGTATATTAATCAATATGAACATGAATATTCCAATTATTTCCATGCAATCCAATTTCTTACAAATCAATTAATTATATTTACCAATAATAATAAACCAAATAATTTCCCCCATATATTCCTCCAAACCACAACTTAACCATTTCTGCTTTCAACACAATATACAATTAATAGTATCTCAATTATTACAATTCCCTAGTTAAATAGAGCTTTTTTTCTTTTGTGTTTTAAAATCCTGAACTCTCCTCTTTTTCCCTAAATTTCCCATTGTTTGCACGTACCTTTTTTGGTGAGGAAAAAGAAAAGAATTCTGCCTGCCTAATTTTCCAACCTTGCAGCAACAGCAAAGCAGTTTCAGTTTCGTTTCTTTGCAAGGAAGCAGAAGAGCCCTGAGCAAAACAGCGGAGACAAATCAGCTGAGAGCCGGGAGGCCAATTAGCCTATGCTGAAGCTCCGTGGGCCAATAAAATTACAAAAAAAAACACCGAACCCTTTGTTAAATTGCTGGCTCTCCCGCCCCCCCCCGCTCCCAGAATCCCACCACTGTGTAGGCCCCTCTTGATCTTGAGGCCCTAGGCTGAAGCCTAGTTAGCCTATAGGAAAATCCGGCCCTGCTTGAAGCGCACTCAGCCACCGGAAGCCAGTGCAGCTCGCATAGAAGAGGTCTTACATGTGAGCGCCATGTTGCTCCCATAATTACTCGCGCGGCCGCATTCTGGACCAGTTGGAGCTTCCGGGTGCACTTCAAGGGGAGCCCCATGTAGAGAGCATTGCAGTAGTCAAGTCGGGAAATGACGAGGGCTTGAGTGACTGTGTGTAATGAGTCCCAGTCTAGAAAGGGACGCAATTGGTGAATCAGGCGAACCTGATAGAAAGCTCCTCTGGCCATGGCTGTTATATGATCTTCTAAAGACAGTCGTGCAT